CCAGCATACGCGGGTCATGGATACGCTGCCCACCAGAGACGATTTCCTGGCCTCGAATGAAGATATCAAAGGAGTTGGTGAAGCGCGGGTCTTCGGGATCGGGCATTGTATAGAACGGACGAGCTGCGACCGGAAACTTGTCAAGGATGTAGTAATCGGTCCCATATTTCTCCTTGACAAGCTCACCCAACCGTATCTCGTCTCGGGTATGCAGGTCATCGTCTTCAGGCAGTGGATTGCCATCCTCATCACGCCATCCGGACTCGTTGAGCATCTTGATACCATCCGAGAATCGAATGATGGGTGTCTCTTCCAGCCACACAACGTCCTCCGAGGGGAACTGATGCTTGACAATCTCGATCTCGCGGCGGTAGCGGCCATAGACACCCTTCAGCATGTTCTTGATCACTGCATCCAAAACGTCCAACATCTCGTGATAATGCTCCTCGATCGCCATCTCGATATCGAGACCCGTGTACTCTGTCAGATGGCGGTGGGTGTTGGAGTTCTCGGCCCGAAACACAGCGCCGATCTCGTATACTCGCTCAAAGTCGGCTGCGATAGCCATCTGCTTGGCGAGCTGGGGACTCTGGGCCAGGAAAGCATCGCGACCGAAATAGTTGACTTGGAAGACACTGGCACCGGACTCGGTGGCACTGCCTTGCAGCTTGGGGGTGTGGATCTCTATGAACCCTTGCTCGTCAAGGGAGGATCGGAAGATATTGCAGAGCGCAGACTGAAGGCGGAAGATGGATTGCGACGTCGGAGTGCGCAGATCCAGGATACGGTTGTTAAGCCGTGTACGGTCCGGTAAGTGACTGCGGCGGCCTTCTACCCTGTCTTCCTCTGCGGTGCGAATTTCGGCCTCGTAGACGCTAAAGGGAACCGGTTCTTCGCGGTGGACGACCAGGTGAATCTGTTCGACATCAAGCTCGACGTCATGAATAGTGCAGCCCAGCACTGGCACCTGGGGCGCTTGGACAATGCCGCGCACGCGGACGATGGAACCCAGGCGTAAATGTTCAGCCCACTGAATCATCGCAATGGACTTGGCCCCAGGTTTCTCGTGCAGAACACCTTGGAAGGTAGTGAGCCGTTGACGGAAGATGAGGAAGACTAGCTTCGAGCTCATCCGGCGTATAATGTGTAGGCGGGCTGTGAAGTAGACCTCCTGGCCGACACTGCTCGAAGAGATATCCTCCAGACGAATCCGAGTTTCTCGCGGACGACTAGTGGACTGAAGCATGGGCAGCTCTCCATAACGAGCCTTCATTTCGGCTGTCTCTTCGCGAGCCGCCTGTGCGATCTCTTCCTTGCGGCGCCGCTCGGAGTCATCCGATTGTTGTTCCTCGCTGAGTCGACTACGGTCCTTTCGACGCTGTTCGCGAGCCAAGCGCTTCTGCTGGTTTTTGCTCAGAGAACCTGTGCCAGAATCGTCGGAGACATCGTCAGAGGAAGAAACATAATCGCGATCGCGCAAGAAGCTACTGAAGATGCTGCGGCGTGGCGAGGAGGTCCCATGAGATAGGTTTGTTTTGCCCGACTCGTCATCGGCCTTGGGCTTGATTTTAGACAAAGCACGTTTGATGGACATGGTGACGGATGAGAGACCACCTAGGTTGTCAATGGAGGTGTACAGTCAGGTAGGTGGCCAAAAAATCATCCGAGACCAGTTATTTGGTTTATAAAATGAAAAGAATACGAAGGATCAGAAGGAAAACCGTACCAAAAAAAAACGTACGACGGGAGAGTAGGAATATAAGAGTAAGCCTTAGACCCTTAGTAAGGTTAGCTCTAGGAAGCAATCGGAATGGAAAGGGACACGAGGGGAAAGTAAATCAGCCACAGAAGTGACTACCTAGGTTCCAGGAGGATTAATACCTTATGTATTAGCTGCTTAGATGCATGGAACGGAAGAAGAATATGATGATGACTCCCTGACGAAGAGCGATCGACAGTCTTGATGAAATCTTAAGGAGGAGTGTCTAGAGAGGTACTAGACAAGTATTTCTGTGAATATCCCCCTGGATTCGGGGACGTTAGGTAATTTTGAAGCTTTCTCACTAAGCAATTGATCAAGAGCGCAACCAAGAAAGGAAGATCCCAGAACAAGAAGACGACCGAGAAGCCGACCAGAAAAGCGCTGGTGGTGATGTCATCGCCCGCAGGAAATGTGACGCAGTGTGTCAGCCTTAATGGAGGGGCAGACATTTTGCCATCGACCCATACTGGTGTATTATTGTATTTTATCTTGCCATAATCAGAATACTATCTTATTATCATTTACTATTTACTTGATAGAGATCATACCACTCAATTGCCAGGTAGCTAGGTTTTTTAATGCAATTGAGAGTACTTGCTACGGATATAACCGACCCTTCCACCGAACTTCAGGGTTGCCCGCTTGAAGTACATCCGTCGTACTGTTACTATCTAGTAGAACTACTCCGTTCATCGGCATCAGAGAGCTCGCGAGGTCCGAGGAAGCATAGAAATCTCAACAATTAATTGACACTATTTTTAAGACACACTAGGAAGCAAACTAGGCATTCGCTGATATCATCCATACCTCAAGAAATGAATCTTGTGCAAGCCCATTTCTTTCACTTTTCACGTACTAAAATAAATGTAGTCCGTATGGTACTTTACTCTCCTCATCATCTGACACTCTGGATTTCTTGGCTGGCGTCTTTTGTTCACTCTGAACCACATACCCGACTTCTTCCTCCATTCCCAACTCCCATGATCCCTCGGTTCTCTCCATCCATATTCCGATTTCAAAACATTCAAATTTCTCCTCCGTTTATTATTAGGTTTCGGACCTTCAGGGTACTGACTTAGGTAATCGCTCTCTCAGGGCCAGTCCCTGCCGGACCTACCGCTTCCCGCGTATGCATCTAGACTCGTGGCGATCATCGTTGTACTAGATCAATGTCCATGGCCTCTCATGCCCCTCCTCGATGGTGGCTCTACATCCAGGCCGTCTTTTGGCGGTTCCTGATGCGAATAGGAATGTTCTTTCACGACTTGCCGGCTCCCCGTCCTCCCCGTCCAGCCTTCGTCCGATCCGTTCGTTCCGGCAACTCGCAGATCCGTCTGCATTTCTACTGTCCACCTGACTACCAGAAGAATCGGAGAGAGGGCCGCCGACTACCCGTAGTGCTCAACTTTCACGGAGGCGGTTTCACACTGGGATGTCCCACCGACGACTCCCGCTGGGCTCAATGCATCCTGGAGGACGTCGGAGCAGTGGTAGTCAGTGTCGGGTACCGTCGAAGTCCAGAGCATCCGTTCCCCGCTGCTGTAGATGACGGTGTGGAAGCACTCCAATATCTGGCCGCCCATGCCGCCGAACTGGGGTTGGATGTGACCCGAATTGCTCTGAGTGGCTTCTCGGCGGGCGGCAATCTAGCCGTCACTGTGCCTCTACGGCTGCGAAGCCTGATGGCCAAGGAGCAGCATGATCCTCCGCTCGATCGGGCGAATTCGTCGCAGCAGCTGCTTGACACATCGGGCGATATTAGCATCGTCGCTCTCTTCTGCTGGTATCCGATCCTGGACTTTGAGGAGTCGCGTGCCTTCCGCCGCGCCGCGAGCATCATGCCAGACCAGACGCTTCCGAAGTTCCTGACCGATCTATTCGATAATGCCTACCTGCCCAACCATGAACACCGTCGCTCGCCGTACGCATCACCGGTCCGAGCGACAGACGAGATCCTGAGCGACGCTCTGCCCCACGATATCTTTCTGTACATTTGCGAATGGGACATGCTGATGAACGAGGGCCAGCTGTTTATGCGGCGACTGAAAGATTCCGGCAAACATGTTCGGGCCATGATGATTGAAAAAGCCCGACATGCCTGGGACAAGTCGCCGAATCCCTTCCGGGATCAAGGCAAGGTCAATGTTCTCTATCGCGATGCCTGCGCGGACATGAAAGCGATCTTTAACAGATAGATCTGCGCGATACAGAATCAGCATCTTCATGTGCTATTACTTCTTTCTTTCCTGTCCACGCCACTCCCTTGTCCTTAAAGTTACTTACTCGAGCGTTTGCCCATCATTATACGGAGCCATTGGAGGGGAAATACCCTGCTCCTGACACGGTCTCCAACTTATCGATTTCCAGGCGTTATAGATGTAAACTATCCTCTAACAACAATACTAACAAATGGCTATCCATGAATGACAACATGCGACTCTTATCAATTAAGGTAGTATCTAGCAATTAAAACCAGGAAGGTAAACAGTCTCCAAGTACCGTGCTTTGTAGATCCCAACATCGGCACTCCAATCCACCAACCAGAATCTTCTTCCCCAGCAACTCTAATATTCATGTCCATTTCCATGGTAATATCGCGAATTTCGCTGTTGAACAGGTTCTCTACCCCAGACGCTGAAACTCACGTTCGCCGCTCTGGGATCAGGTATTGGATGCAGGCATGCTATGACATCATTCTTTAGTATCGACCTCTGTACCGAGGTCCACGATAACGAGCTTTTGGTGCATTCAAAACTCATGGACTTCGAAGTGTCGGTTGACTCGACTGTAGAGAATAAATCTGGTTTATAGATGCAGAGGAAAACCAAGGTAGAGGGATACAGCAGTTGCATCCTTGAGGTTGCCATGTGGCAATCAGACAGTGTCTAGGTCTACACGATACTAGCATTGGTTGTATTGATTTTCGAATGTTTATTCCATTTAGATAGTTGTGACAACCACTACATTCACATCATAGCGCCATATCGAGTCAAAATGCCATCGTAGGAAACACCAAGGAACAGAACATGGCTGATATCCGAACAAGATACAAAACGAGATCACACCCATACGCCACGCTAACCAGCCATGCATCATGGTAAAGAAATAGAGGAAATCACTTTTTCTGCTTTTTGATCAAACTCGTCCAGAGAGGGCTGAGATGCAAGAAATGATAAAGACGCTGTGGGGTATTGAGCATGAATAGAAAAAACGAACAAGCTTTTTTGTTTCAGACATTTCAGTCGTCTTCGTCGGTCACAGTGACATCGCTCAGATCTCCTTCCGATTCGCTCCCGTCGAGGTCACTGTCCGAGTCGCCCTCGTCCTGGTCATCCATCCCAGGAATACCGCGCCAGTGGACGTAGTCATTCTCCAACCAACGGCGGCTGCGAGGCAGCTGGTATGGGTCAAACGGGAAATAGGCATCAAGCTGATAACCGAGATCATCGCCAGCACGAGTTTCTCGCTCGACGTGGCTGAAGCGCGGATCTGCCATGGCCGAGATGCTCCGAAATGAGGAGACGCGCAGTCTTTTGTTCGTCTCGAGTATGCTGAACACGTACATGAAGTTGAGGTGCTGGGCCATACGTGCGAATTCAGACACAATCGCAGGCGAGCAGACCTTGAGGGGGTTCAGTTTGGAATGGACCGCTTGGTGGAGGACCTCCTTGACCGATGGAGGGAACGTGATCTCTTCTGGCTCCAGTTCATCAATTTGTTCTGGGGTGTCGCCCTCCATCGCCGCGGTCGTCAGGTCTCGCCAGCGGAAGCAGAAGATATACAGCAACGCCTGTGCCGTAGAGTAGAAAGGGCCGTAGCGGCGTAGATCAGGGCCTCGACAGGTAGCTTCATAGTCAAGACGGAGGTTGTTCAGATGTGTGCCTAGGAGGTCAAATACATCTCTTACTACCTCGCCAGAGATGTGCGCACCGCGGGCAACGAAGCTAGCGAGGTAGGCTGCTGCGGACTGCCGTAGGATTCCAGGTTGCATCTTGTTGAAGATGAGCTGAACGCAGGTGGCAGCAAATCGATCCACCAGAATTGGCGACGATTGGGAGAAGTGGAAGAGGAGGAATTGAGAGTGGCGGGAGCGGTAGGTCGGAAGGATAATACTCTGGAAGTGGCTCAGAAGTAAATCAAGCGCATTCTCCTTGTCATCCAGAGTGCCCGTTGCGAAAGGCGGGGCGTAGTACTCAAACAGCGAATCGATCATGCCATCCAGTTTGAGTATGTTATCCTTGATGGTCTTGACACGCCGGGACTCCACGTCTAGGGAATCATCACTAGCGACAGATGCATTGTCGTCGACTTCATCCTCGTCATCCTCCAATATCGTGGCTTCAGGCGAGACTGCGTGGAGAACATCCTCGCCCACTTCGTCCTCGATGTCTTCCATATCTACCTGAATCTGGACATCGATCTTCACGACTTTCTCCGTGATGAGAGCTAGAATATCGGCTTGGAGTTCCGGAGCGTAAGTGATGACCTTCAGAAGATTCCGCGTGTACGCAATGTTGGCCTTTGCGGAATCGGTATCGAAGGGAAATTGCATAGACAAGATTGGGGATAGGGTCCCACTACCAGACGGAATCAACTGCATCACATGCCGTAGAGCCATGTGAGTTCTGCTATAAATCTCTGCAGCTTGGACTGGGGCGTACCCAGGCAGCTTGCCCGTCCCCTTTGGGATCTCCCCAAAATTATTGGCCAGCATCTTCAAGACCGCCCCGAGATAGCTTCCCTGAGCCGCCGCAAGGTTACCTAGAAATCGAATGTACAACTTGATATACGACTCATCCCGCCCGAGCCATTCACTGTGCAGAACTGCATTGACCAAGCCGTTGCAATTGCGGTCCAGCGACGCAACGTTCGACAGAAGACCCATGAGATGATGCTTCAATGTAGTGTGTGTCGGTAAATCTTCGGACGGCAAGCCATCTTCGTCCAGACGCCGAGGATCTGCTGAGAAAATCTCCTTGATACGATCGTAGGCTTCGCTGTCCGTTCCAGAGACATGCCGCTGGATAGCTCTGCGCACTTCTTCACGAACCACGGCCGCGCTCTTTTCCGTACTCACGGCCATTTCCTTCTCTTGACCACTCCAGGACGCCTCTCGCATTTCCACATCCTTATCAAATTGAACCCTAACCCGCTTCCTAGGACTGGGCGTGCCATCGCTGCCGCCGGAAGCAACCGAGGACGAGGGTGACAGCGAAAGATCCATGTCGGTCAACTTGTGTTTAGCCCCGGCAGCTGCCGCGCTGTTCGTCTTGGAATTTTTCAAAATGGGCACTGGCGAGGGGTTGGCCAGCATTTTGGGAGGGTTGACTGATTTGATCGCCCCGGTAGGGTTGCGCGCAGCGGTGGCGAAGGAGACCATGACAGTCTCGATTTTATCGGGAAGAAGGTTGGGGTGAGGTTGGTCGACGCGAATTCCAGCGTCGTGTCATTTGTTGCTCTCGCCTTCGAAGACAAGAGAAAGGAAAGGTCTTAGTGGGAATCTCCCGACTCCCGAGGACTATTCAGGATGATAATGCTGAAGGAAAAAAACCAGAGCACACGACACGGCCAGTGCCTGTTGAAACCGTTGTCCACTCTAGAGAGCTACTGAAATTAATAACGGGCGCGCTGGGGGAAAGCTGACGTTGAAGGCAGCTTCATTTGTCTGCCTGATAAATGGGAATCTAAGATGATGTTGTAAGACTGCTATATGCGGACAGGCAATGAAGGTTGAGGCCGCCCTGAAAAGCGAAGACGAGGATGGTTGAAACCAGCGGAGAATTGTACACTGGAAATTTTTCGTTCTGTGGGGCGGTGTGGAGTCTTGAGGCCCTCTGACTCGTGACCCGCGCGTGACCAACGCGGGACCCAAGCTGCTTCGTCGCGAAACCCTACGCTTTTCCTGCCTAGGTAACATGTCGTTACCTGCTCACGATAATATTCAGGTTACAACCAGTTACACCTGTACACAGATCGCTGAGACAGATTATTATGATTTCAGAAACTAGGGGATGATGACATGGACATGGTAAGTAGAAATGAATTGCAACAGAACTACATCGTTCATCACATGTCCTTTTTGTGGCACATCCACAACCTATACGAAATAAATGACTGCAGTGAGGTTGATAATATATACATACAACGCGAGTAGATGGAAACCACCTCTTGGTATATAGCGGGCAAAACAAGAAAGGGTTGAAACAGAGAAACAGAAACACATGGCACACGTAACGATTGAATAAGGTAGGTCGTAACATAGTCGGAAATTGACAGGGAAGGAAACTCCAGTTCTCCTTCTCCGGTTCGAATTACGCAGAGTTGAGGACATCACAAATGATGGTGCAGTTCGAAGCGAAATCCGAGAACCTCAAAGCCAAGACCCAGTGGCGACAGGCCCGAGATGATCGTCGAAGATGCTCCCATAGAGTTCCTCTATCTCAACAAGATAGTCGTTCGCTGTAAATTTCCTCAGTCCCTTGTTGAGCAAGATCATCTCCTCCTCGTCGAGCACGCGAGTAGCGCCACTGTTGAACTCCTCTGCCACTTCATTGACCTGCTCCAACTCCTTCCCGAACGGATGGGGCTCCGGGTTGAAGAAATCTTGGGTCGTTCGAATGGAGGGGCTGCTGCGCATGGAGTTCAGTGGTGGCGGAGACAACCGTGACAAGGAACGCTGGCGCGCTAACTCTTGGTGGGACCGTTTCGTATGCGATAGAGCACGTTTGGGAACCAAGGGTGCATCTGTCGACGAGGTGGTCGAGGTTGACGACCGAGGATGGCTAGTCACTGTTGCAGATCGCTTCGGGAAATATGACGACAATGGGTTCGGCTCAACCGGTGAATCGTCTGGAGTTGTGACTGGAGAGCCAAAGCTTCGCTGAGAGAAAGACAGCTCGGAGTCGTCGGGAGACTGCAGTGAAGAAGAAGATGACGAAGAGACAGCCGAGTGAAGATCGGGCGCATTGTAGGCCAACATGTTCGTTGTGGAGATTAACTCGACCGGTCCAGAGATCTTCCCCCGCTTAATGGTGCCCGCGGTGAACTTGACCTGACCTTCGCGATAGGGCATTGGCGCAGAGACCTCGGGACGCTTGTGGCGCTTGGTAAAGGCTCGAGTTAGGGTAGACATTGTGAGTTGCAATTGGATGGAAACCTGGTCGGTGTTGTAATGGGATTGGCGATGGACTCCGGTAGCAATGATGTGTATAGATCGGCTATTCCCGCAATCAGATAACCTTGTCGTTGATACACAATAAAATCTTCTTAAAATCTAGGACTTCTAAACGCTATAGTTGCGCACGTCAAATTGGCTTCGAAAGAATGCGTGGCTGACGTTGACGATCGCGGGTGGGGTGTCAAAGAAGGAATGGAAGTCGATCGACGGAATGTCCGCTATCAGATATGAGTGGTAGAAGCTTGTCGCTTCGCTTCAAGCTTCTAGTGTATGCTCTTCAAGAGAGACGAAAATGAATTTAGGGACCGGATATCCTCGTATCTGTTTGCACAGCAAAAGAAAATGGGATGGTTGGATCTCTCGTCTCCAGAGCCAGACCGTCTTTAAGTGACTCAAGGGGGGTCACAAGAATGCTGCAGCCAGACTGTACAAGTGTACAGTGAGAATCAGAGGCGGACAACCAGGACGCGCCACTCAGAAATTTGGAAAAAGGAAGGGAAATTCCACAGATACCGAGATCTAGGAAAGTAGAAAAATGACCATCAATGGATCTAAAGAAGAAGAGAATAATATAACATGGAAATAGTATGAAGGATAGTCCCCCAGGGAGGAGTGGTCGGAAGGGAGAGAGGAGGGAGGGAATGGAGGAAGAGAAGGAGAAAAGGGAAATCCCCGAGGGAGACCCAAATGCCAGCGGAGGCGAGTGAACAAAGTATGGGATAGAATGGTTCTGGCCTGTTCGGCCGGAGGATCCTGTCCAGTGACGACTCCAGCCAGTGTACGGAAGGCCCTAAAAAGAGTCCCTCAGGATCTCTGGCTGTTGGCCTCAGGATTGGCTGTCCAGATTTTCAGGCTGTACCTTACGGTGGATCTTCTCTTCAAAGTTTCTAGAGCCCACAGTACAAACCGTGGAGGCAAGTATGTACCTTACCTTTAGCCAACAGCCACTGCGCCAACTGTCAGAGTATCCAGCGTTTACCCGTAGGCTCTACGCAGTTTGTTCGACGAATTCTCTTGACAGCTGGCTGGGTTCACTGGATAGCTAAGAATAGCGATAGGAAGGAAATATTTGCCTTGCGTTTTCCTTCTCTTGGTTCTTCCCGTTCTTCCTATGGCGAGATTGGCACGAACAGTGGTTCTCACGGTGTCTGGTACCATGGAACCTGAGCTTCCAGATGCTCAGGGTCGTTTAATTATACAATTCTAGTTCTTCATCTTCTGAGGTATCTATCTACTTCCTCTACAAGTGAAGGTGAAATGATTAATATTATTATTTCTCCGGTGCTCCGACGGATTGGCTCTACGAGTCAGGCTGTGATCTCTCAAATCGTTGGCGGTTTCTACGCGCTAAATCGCCCACTACAATTTGATGTGTCCGAGATAGCAGTGGATTGATCGTTCTGTCTGCTACACTTGTTACGCTATCACATTCTCATTATTATTTTATGTGAAGGAGGATCGCAGATGACGAAAGATCAGTCTCTCATCTGCAGGAAAGTGGTACCTTGAATTCCAACTCTAAGATGACACAGTAGTTAGGCTCTGGTAGTAACATTCCTATTTCCCCTCAGGAGACGCCAAATGCCTATTGCTGTCTGCATTATCGGTTGCCACAGACTATATGTTCCTTGCATGGTTGTTGTCCTTCCTGCTGTGACAACGTAGCGGCCGGTAACATCGTATGGTCGAATCACGAATACTACCGTGCCTTAGTCCGCTGGCCTAGTCAAAAGGTCAAGCAACGGTGTTGGCCTGGCGCCAGGAACCACCACACGACAGCCTGTAAGAAGGGCCATGTGCCGCCCCTCGACCGCTGACCAGTCAAGATGAAACAATCCTGCCGGATGACTTGTCTCATGCTGCTAACTCTGTTCTCGACTGTGACCTATGACATCTGACTGATGGCATCCTGCAGTTCTTCGAGGTTATCGCTTCTTTCGCACCCTTAAGCTTCTGCAGTTTGACCCTTACAGAATGGGTTGCACAGAATCATAAGTCATCTGAGGGAATCACTCATCCAAGGCCCTCATCTCAGTGACCACGCGGATTTAAACAATGGGTCAATCGGATATGGTGGGTCTGCCCCACTGTGGGAAGAAAACTTAGCAGAGCGCCCCTTGGCTCGAGGCTTCGGGCCTCAGTCAGTGCGCTGGACTGTGTAGAAAGCACTTGCATGAACATGGCTACTAATTTTGTGGACCAGACTCGATTTCAAGTCAGAATTCTTGTAGACTGGGGCTACCTGGAGCATTCTGGACAACATAAGATGTGGATAGAGGAAGAAGAATGATGGCCCCGTCCCTTGCATGTGATACATGCAGTCTTTAATTTCTGAGGCCGGTACTTGTTCTCGCATACGCATGTGGCTGGCAGACCAACTGGCACAGTACCGAAGAGTCCTGTGTTTGAGATCATTATTCAGCGTCGCCAGCTCCCCTTCGCCTGGATTCTTGGGTCGAACCCATCTCAGAACTGAGCTCTGGAGCGATGAGTTGCAGTGCTAGTCATGCTTTTATCACTTGAGGTTGATTACACTCGCCATCATCAATGCCCCAATGATCTAGAGGACATAAGGCTTCTTAAGTCAACCAAAGGTGTCGACCTCCATATACTAGTCAGAGGGAGGATTCCAACGTATGTAGGGTATCTAGCCGCATATGCTGATGGTTTGCTTCCCTTACAGAAAAAGGTATGTACATCGTCAGCTAAATGTAACCCTTCGGCTCTTCTTAACCACACAAGACGGTCTGACACAGAGATCAAGTGGTCAGGTATTCGTGGGAAACGCTTTTTTCCATTGGCTGTTGCTGCAAAGTCTTGATAAGCTCGACAGCAGGATTCGTTGCATCAGATTGAATCATCTGAACAGTCTCGACACCGCCGCCCGTTTAGTCTGCACATTCTAAATCATCCCATTTTTTAAGTAGCGATATTTTTGAGTCCGAAGGGTCAAGAGAAAGTAGTATAATGAACTCTGTAGCCTGTCAACTTTGTGGTCGACCAGAGAGTCAAACAGTTCCAATCCAGGCAAAGGTTCGAGTAGCTAGTCAGTTTCCTAGGTCACACATATATCATATACCATGAAGAAGCAGCAGATTGACGGTAGTTAGGACGCAAAGAATCTCTAGGTAGACTTCCAGGTAATTGCTGTGTTAATGCCAGTTGGTGCCTTGATAGTTGCATCTGCCTATCGTTATCGCCGA